GCATTGCAGTAGTGCCTGCAGTGGCATTGACGGCGACATCATCACTACGTGACGGACACCTGTGATGTGATGTCGGACATTCCAGAGCGGTCACGCGGTCTCCGGTCGTTGAGGTCCCACTGGCCGGGGGCGCCGTCCCACCGGCGGGGGGCGCCGTCCCACCGGCGGGGGCGCCGTCCCACCGGCCGGAGATTGCTCAGTGCTCACCACGGACGGCCTAGGTGACCCGGTCCCTAGTCACCCCTCCCCTCTCCGTGGGAGCAGCAGTCGGGGAGAAGGCAGAACGGATAAGAACTGAAGGGATGACGGACGAGATTTGTTGGGAGGTGGGCAGTAATCGCCACGCCATGTGTGGATCGCCCATGATCGTAAATACGAGTACAATACAATATACAATACAATACAAGGATGGGTGAAGGGGAACGGAGAGAACTCTATACCTTCTAAGGAATGCTGCGGCGAGAGACGGTAACAAGGACTTCATTGACATACTATTGCTTCCAAATTAAGCTTGATTCGCGTCTGGCTCTAGTACTGCATTGAATACCCTCCCGAGCCCCTCCCGTATCGCCAGGGTAGCTGTCCCGGTGAGGCGCGTGTCAGACTGAAGCAGTGCGTCGACCTTGTGACTGTCAGTCCGCGCCTGGGGCGGGGACACGGGTGTGACCTGTGATAATGGCGGGCACGTGAGCGTGACGCATAGCTGGGTCACATTCTATCCAATCAGGGACGATGAGAGCGCCACAGTGCAGTGGTCAGGCCGATGACCGGGTGGGGAGCGCTGGTTGGGCTTGTTGCGGGCTAGAAAATATTGGGAACGCTTGGTAACTTAAGTGCTACACGGACTTGCGCTTAGACTTTTCACATTTTTTGAAGCGAAGAATTAATTTATGTCTTAGCCGTCGCTGGCCGAGGAGAGTGCCTTCCCCGACATTTTTTTTTTTTTTTATTGCACGAAGCATGCAGACAATAGTTTTTCAGATTTTCGAGCTCTTTCGAATGCCGCTTACCACGTGTCGCACACGTGGCCCAGGATCCGAGTTAGTGTGGGGATGGGGGGGGGGGGGGTGCGACGTGGTTGGCGCCGAGCACCTGCCTGGCGCGGGTAAATAATTATCTGATAAATATTTATAATATATGTTACGATTATATTGGCATTATTGTTTTAAATGAAACTGTGGTTATGATTGTTAAACGCAATATTAAAACTAGCGCAGTTAAAGCATCCCGCAGCAGAACTAAAAAAAAAAAAAAAACATTCACACACCGTCCAGGCCCGGGCCGGGGTCGGATCACTGCCCTCGCCTCACAGCGACTTGTTTCGCCCGCTGGTCTCGCCCGCCGGCTACATGTGCCCTTGACCTTTAACCTACGATGCGTGTCCTGGCTGAATTCCGTTCCGATCGCGCGTCCAGCTGCACCACGGTTGCGGCCGCGCGGCCCGTCTCTCGCCGGGCGCTGCGCCGCCCCAGCCCCGGGTAATGCCTCTGACGCCAGAGGCGCCCGAGGCCAAAATCGCCGATCGCTGACCGACCACAGGTCACGTCCGCACCCCTACCCGCGCATTTGAAACTCCCGGATGTCCAAAGGCCCCGGATGTTAAACCTCTGGCCTACCGTGACGCATCTCGCCGAGCCGGGTATCTCGGTAAAACTCGGGCTTCGGTAGGGTATTCACTACAGTACTGGAGCGAAGTGAGGATCAAGCTTAATTTGGAAGCAATAATACCGCAATGTTCGGAACATGTGATCATTCCCAACATAGGACAGTAAGGGCTGGTGCATTGCGATACGGGAACGGACTTGCGATGCTGGGTAGGTTGATGACAATATACTTATTTGAGAAATATCCCAGCGGATGTGTGCCATCTTCCGTGAGCTGGCGATCGGTCTGACCTGCGCACTGGTGTCCGAAGTGCTCCCATTTATGAACGTATTCCGGCCATTATTGGAGGTTCTGAGAACAGATGGCCGGGCCTCAGCCGGAACAAATGTGGCGGCCGGCGGGTGTCGCGCCCAGTGCCAGAATTGATGGAGTGACGGCGCGGCCCGCCCGGAGAATTGGACACGACCGGGGTCAATACGAGCCGCTCTGTCACCGGCCGGGTCACTTGTCTTCCGAATTGGTGGCCCGCCCGGCTGAGCTATGACCGACCAATGGAGCGTGTGAGATCTATGGAGCGAACCTCTTACCCGCCGGCCGAGCTAACCTATAGTGATAGCTAGCGGCCGAGTCAACAGGCAGCTAATAGCCAAACTCAGCTTCTAGCTCAACAGTTGCCGATAGTTAGCGTCACATTAAGAGCCTATTCGTACATGAAACATGCTAAGCCCAGCCGTGGTTAGATCAGCGCTGATAAGGGATGTCCCAGTCGCGATAAGGTTGGCCCGTTCTGTGACAACTCTTCCCGCGCCCCGTTGGGGGGGGGGGGCATTTTGGCCCCCCCCCCTAAGATCTCGAGAACCACGCAACGTAGCGACAAGCGGCAAACGGTGTTGGATAGCCCTATCAGGGAACTACCTTGTGACCCAATTTTATTGACCTAGGTCAAACCGATGACGTCACAGGTCAGGTCAAAGGTCCAATTTTCACCGTTTACAGGCATTTCAAGAAATGCGTTGTACAATCGAGTAAAATGCATTTCATTGAAAATCATCGATGGGGAAATGTTCTTCAAACACATATTTTGCTAGTTGAGGTCACTGATACCAGGTCAGGTCACAGAGGTCAGGTCACTGGGGGGTCACAATATGAAAGTGTCGTGTGATACATGTTTTATGGTCCATTTTACATGACAAATGCGATTATGTGGGTCAGGCAGCCTTTGGGGCCAGCTTAGGTCACGTTTTGGTCAAGGTCAGGTCAAGGTCAGGTCAAGGTCAGGTCAAGGTCAGGTCAAATTAGGTCAAATTTCAAAGTTGATATTTTTGCATAAAATGGGTATCGAATCGATGCAGCTCGTCACGGGGAGTTCAATGGTGGTCTTTGTTTTGCCGTATGAGGTCTAGAATCGCTAAAAATGGAGTTCAAAAATTTGACGTCATCATTTTTGAACAGTTTTTTCGCTATAACTTGGCCAAAAAACGAGATATCGATCTGAAATTTGGTATGAACAGCGCAGGGACTATCACATATATTCCGGTTTTTTCGAAATTCGGAAAAATTTTGGATTTTTTTTAGTTTTTCAAAAAAAAATCAATTTTTTGAAACTTTTTGGGTCAAAAACCCAAAATTTTGAAAATTCGAGATAGCAGTTTTGTAGCGCCGCTTTTTGTCTACTAGACCATATAAAGAACTTTGAAATTGCTTGATAACTGTAGATTTGGTGAGCGTTTCAAGATTGCATGTTTTTTGCTCATTTTTGCTCGAACATGACCTCAGTTTGACCTCAATAACTCCTGACCTAAGGTGACCTAAGACTTGAAATTTGGTGTGAAGGTGTCAAATTGATGCCCGGGAAGGTACTGAAAATTTGGCGGCGCTGCGCGCCGCCGTTTAACCCTCGCCCAACGGGGCGAGGGTTAAGTACCACTCCGTCTCTGCCTGCGCCCGTGCGGCCCTCAGCTCACCCCTGCTTAGCTACCGGGTCCCTGTATATACGACCGCCCCTCTGCCGTGCGGCCCTTGCAGCCCGTCCCCGGTCAGCGCCAACCGACCGCCGCTGACCACGTGTCCAAAACACGCCTGATGGCCGACCGGAGACCAGCCGGAGGGGTCGGTTAGGGCGCGCCAGAGCACTCAACAGTCTCAGCAGTCAACGATCCATCAGTCAACAACTCAGTCAGTGATCCAATCAGTGAACAGTCGCATCAGTTGTGGCGCCGCTGGGAGCTCGGGATCGCATTGGGGCGGAGTAATTTAAACTTCTGACCTTTTATAGCGTTCTGTTTGGACGCCTAGTTCCAAACGTCATTTTGTCATCGGCTTTTTTCGTTCGGCGTTTTAGCTTATTTCATTTGTGGTAAAAACCTGGGCGTAAATGGTGGCCGGAGTTTCTTTTGTTGGCGTTCAATCGCAGACGTCCAATGTGGGATAAGTGATAAGTGTTGCTGCTTTTCTTTTTTAGAGCTAGGGCACTAAAGAAAAATGTTACGTTGAGCAGCTAAAGGGATCAACCATCCGTCTATTGTTCTGCCTTATATGTTACTGTTGGCGTTTGTTGTGGCTATATGGCAGAGCTCAGTGTGTTTTGACAGTGTGTGCTGTTGTGTGTGTGTTTTACAGAGCCTCGTGAGTTCCGACAAAGCCCCGGTTAACTTAGTTACCGCATAGTGTTATCCCGAGGAGTGTTATTCTGACAGCTCCCCGTGTGTTCTGACAGAGCCCTGTGTCATCCCCAGGGATGTTATTCTGACGACCCCCTCCCCATTCACCAGGGGTTATATTCTGACAGGTATCCGTGTTTTTCCCAGCCGTGTTCTCTGACAGAGTTCCGTGTGTCCCCGGCGTGTCCCCCAGGCGTGTCCGAGCTGGTAGAGGAGCTGCGCCGCCAGGTGTACCTGCCGCCGCTGACAGGGTCCCCTCTCCCCCAGGCGTGTCCGAGTTGGTGGAGGAGCTAGCTGCACCGCCAGGTGTACCTGCCGCCGCTGACAGAGTCCTGTATCTCCCCCCCCCCCTCCCCGCGGTGTGTTCTGGAGTACAGCCAGGGTGAGCGTGCTGAACCCACTGGGTCGTGTGACTTTTCAGACTGGTTGTGGGCAAACACAGAGAAACCGAGCTCCAAAATTGTTGTTACTCGAGTCCCGGTGTCTCCCCCAGGCGTGTCCGAGTTGGTGGAGGAGCTAACTGCGCCGCCAGGTGTACCTGCCGCCGCTGACAGAGTCCTGTATCTCCCTCCCTCCCCGCGGTGTGTTCTGACAGGGTCCTGTACCTCCCCCAGGCGTGTCCGAGTTGGTGGAGGAGCTAGCTGCGCCGCCAGGTGTACCTGCCGCCGCTGACAGGGTCCTGTATCTCCCTCCCTCCCCGCGGTGTGTTCTGACAGAGTCCCCCCTCTCCCCCAGGCGTGTCCGAGTTGGTGGAGGAGCTGCGCCGCCAGGTGTACCTGCCGGCGCGCGCCGTCGCCGAGCCGCTGGTGTTCTCGGTGGACCACTGTTTCAGTATCCGCGGCCAGGGCACCGTTCTGACCGGCACCGTGCTGCAGGGCTCCATCAGCGTGAACCAGGTGAGCGCCGCTCGGCCTCGGCCGCGCTGCTAGAGTACAGTCAGGGTGAGCGTGCTGATCCGCTGGGTCGTGTGGTGTTTCAGTTTGGTTGTGGGCAAACCCAGGTAAACCGAGCTCCAAAATTATTGTTGCTCAATTCTCACGCACTCAAGGTATTTCAGGGCTGATGTCGACGCGTATGTCTAACTATTCCTCAATTCATGTCACATTGGTGAACTCAGCCACACAGCGGGGTTACCTGGCACGCCTGGCCGGATAAGTGCGCCGCCGCGGCCACAAACGACCCTTCCCGGATCTTGGGCGCCTCCCCCGGCGCTGCGGGCGCTGAATGGATGGCCGTCCGTTCTGGGAAGATCCAGACGCATCGCCCGGCGCCGCCGAGACGCTCTTTACCATTTCACGGACGACGCATTAAAACCATCTTAGTGGCGGCGCCCGAACTGCATGCATATTACATGACAGTCTGCGAGACGCGCCGCTCCGCTCCGCCGCCGCCGTCGGCGCTCCGCTCGCCGGGCCGATCGGCGAGTGTTCCGGGAGGGTCGTGTCGGGACGGCGCGGCACGTGGGACAGACGGCGCGCATCGGCTCACACTCCGGGCCGGCGGCGATCGCGGCTGATTTCCGGCGCTGTGATGAATTCCGAACAGGTGGTCCGGAAGCGTTTCGCGGAACTAATACACCCTCCTTTGACTTTACAGCAGCAGTAACGAAAATGCCCGTTCAGTCTTCGGACGGAGTTCTCTTGACCCCTGGTCTTCATGGCCTAGGTGGTAACGGAGCTGTGACCTGAACAGTGACGGCTGCGACCCGTGGCCTTATGTAGTCCTGTGACTTGTGGCTCTGACCTGTGACGGCTGTGACCTTTGACCTATGACGTCTATAACTGATGTGTTCTAGCTGCTGAGTCCCGTGTCGTCTCCGACTTATGACCTCCGGCCTGTGACCTGTGACCTCTACTTGTGTTCTCCGACCTGTGACCTCTGATCTGTATTCTCCGACCTATGACCTCCGGCCTGTGACCTGTGACCTGTGTTCTCTGACCTGTGGTGACCTGTGACTGACCTGTGACGGCTATGTCCGCTGCAGACGGTGGAGATTCCGGCGCTGAAGGTGACCAAGAAGGTCAAGTCGCTGCAGATGTTCCGCCGGCCGGTGGAGCGGGCTGTCCAGGGCGACCGGCTCGGCGTGTGCGTCACACAGTTTGACCCCAAGACGCTGGAGCGGGGCCTGGTGTGCGAGGTCGGCTACCTGTCCACTGTGCCGGCCTGCATCGTCAGCCTACACCGGTACGGCGGGGCACGGGAGGGGGACAGGGCCAGGGGAGGGTCAGATCTGGGGAGGGAGCCCGGCCACCCGGCCTGCATCGTCAGCCTCCACCGGTACGGCGGGGGCAGGGGAGGGGGATGGTCAGACCTGGGGAGGGATATATCAGGAGTTAAGGGGGAGGGGGGGGGGCTGTGCTTTGAGTGCCACAGAACCTAGTCTCAGTGTTTTTTTAAAGGTAATTTTGGTCTTTATTTAGATCGCTGCAAGTTCGTAAGCGTGGATTTTGGTACAGAATAACTGTGAACGCGCTCTCACACAGGACGCGCTCTCAGAGCGGCGGGCGCTCGTAGGTGTTCCTTCTCACCCCCGGCCTCGGCCAGTCCACCGGCGCCCCTCCCGGCCCGGCCAGCCTTTTAGAGCGGTCCCGCAGCCCATTCCAGTCCTCACTCCACCCGGTCACCTGTCGTCACGACTCTGAAGCGTTTTCAGTCTGTCGGTGGCATCGGTGCTACGCTAGCGCCCCTGCTATCATGTTTACCATAGAGCCTTCTATTTCCTGTTCATCGCATGCAACATTCATTTCCGTCGCTGAACACCACGCACCAGTTCTCGTTTCTGGGAATGCAGACAGTTTGCTTTTATCTTCCCAGCACTGCAATCTCTTCATGTTTTGTTTTCCTTGAAACAGTAGGCGAGCACCAATCGTAGATGTCTGTTGCAGTTGCAGCTTTGAAGGAGGTTCGTTTGGCATCGCGTTCCCATTCAGCGTAGAACCATACTGCTTTTGTCACTGACGAACCATATTTGCTTTTGCTCCTGATACGTTGCTATCATTTGTGAGATGTTACATTGAGGCAACGCTGTTACACTCTGTGCCAATGTGTTGTTCGGGACTCGGTATGTTATCGAGTAAGAATGCTGCACTGAGACGGCGCTGTTAGCCGAAACCGGGGCCTCCCTCTCGACGGCCGGAAGCGGCCGGCGGGAGGCCTCCCTGGCGACCGCGCCGCACTCGCCACACAAATTAGGCTCCTCCGTTCGCGGAAGGCTGCCGAGAAGAGTCGGCGCTTCTCGGGCAGGCCGGTCGGTCGGCCGGGTACGGACGGGCGGCACCGGCCGCGGTCCCACCCGTTCCCTACTGGTTCGTGTGTCCGCCACGGTCCTGGTCTGCTGAGGTCCGTGTCCGCCACGGTCCTGGTCTGCTGAGGTCCGTGTCCGCCACGGTCCTGGTCTGCTGCGGTCCTAGTCAGTCTGTCCCGTCCGTCCCGTCCGCTCTTAGTCCGAGAGGTGGCGGCGAGGCTCGCGGTCGAACATTTGTTGCATTCGGACGCCGCCAGTGCCGCTCGGAGATGTTCTGTGACAGTGAGCTGGTTCTGCGAGTGAATAGGTGAACCTACAAAGTGGAGATTGCTTAGTTGGTTGATAGATGGGCCGTGGATCATGATCGCTTCAGTCGCAGCCAAATGTAAACATCCACTGTACTCCAGCATGCATCTAGTGCGTGATCTTCAGAGGAAAGAAAGTTGAGGCGCTACGAGCGTTCAGTTATGTGCATTGGTACTTAGCACACGGTTTGGGAAAATTAAAATGACCTTGAAGCTAACCATGTTCTTGACGGTCCTTTTCTGATCTTTCTTTATCATGTATCTTTCTTTATCCGTTAGTGTTTCTGGCAAAGTTGTTGCACTCTAATATTTTGTTGGAATCGATATTGCAATAGCCATTATTGTGTTTGATAATTGAACACAATTCGAAATCGACACGACGGGTGAAAAGCAGATTGCTTTGGAACCGCATCGTACAATTGTTATAAAATCGGCTCCTTTTTTTGCTCGTCAGTTGCAGTCCTCACTATGACGTCACATCCGCTTCACTCGCAGTTCACTAAACGGTGGCCTTCTCCGAACACGGCCGAACGCTGATATGTTTTCCGTGTCCATCTCAGCCTGTGCTGGGAAATTAATGTTACAATACGGCGCGCGGGCTGACACGGCGCTGAGCACTGCCCCGGAGCGGCCGGCCGGCAGGTCCTCTCTACATTACACCCAGCGCGCCATTTCGCCGTAAAGCCAATCAGAATTGCCGGCCGGTCGAGATCTTAGGGAAATGGCCGGCCGAAATCAATGCTGACGCGCCTGTCGCCGGGCCTCCACCGGCTTTGTGCGGCCGAGCCGGGGCTTTGTGCAGGCGTCATGACGGCTCGCATTAGAGGCTGGACCGTGACACGTAGGGGGGGGGGGGAGGGGGGTCGCGACCTTGCCACGGCTCTCGGTCCTGTCGGACTGCGCCCTCAGCCAGGTCATCGGACTGGACTGCCGCGCGAATAATTCAGAGTGGTGAGGTACAATTGGCCATAATCCCGAATTTACCTACTGTAGGCCTGGAGGTCTGGCTGACTACGTTTCCATTTGTGAAAAGGACACGCGTATCGAAGTTGGTCTTTCTTGACGCTCGCTGCTCCTGGGTTCAGGCTGCTCTAAATTTTCGCATTACCCCCGCAGTGCAGCGCGGTCTAATGCAATGTGTCGGCGCTCGGCAGGTTTGCCGTCCGCCGGCGGGCCGGGCCGGGCCGGTCTGTGCGCTGTTAATGTGCAATCTGTATGCTGTCGGGACGCACCTGAGTGGGTACCGGCCCCAATCCGACACAGCGTCGGCCGGCGAGCTCCAATTCAGACGCTCCCCGAGAGTGGCGCAACGCCTGGAGCGGTCCCCGGTAAAAGCAGGCCCTGCTGCGAGACATACATTTGCGCTTTTATTGTGAGCGCTTTGATGTTCTGAAGCACATTTTGAGCTGGATGGTATTCCCACCAGTTTCTCCTACCAAGTCGCTGGAAATAGTTATGAGTATTAAGCAGTGTCATTGCCAGTCTGCTTCAACATCCTTGATCTTCCTAACCAAGTTGGCTGGTTATCGGAAACCGAACAAGTTCCATTGCTGTCTCGGTATATGGAATCAGAATTTGCGGCCGTTTAGTTCATTGTTTGCTATTGTTCCTTTTCCATTGCGCAGCATGCCTAAGGACCGTTTCCTTTTGTGAGCTACATAGAAGTGTCGCATCCCATCCCGTTTATCGTGTTTCATATCCCTAGTCTTGTAACTGTAGTCGAATAGCGAACATCTTATAACTGAAAAAACTTATCTTGATGCAACGATAGCCATTTGAACAATTTTTATCCTTCATCATATGACATCTTTCACTGACCCATTCAGGCACAACGGATCATAGTCCATCCGCAGGCGCAGCGTTCGGTACAGCTCCCACTGGCCGCTCCTCTGCCAGCGCGACCATTCCGCCGCTGACCGCCTCCCTCTCCACAGGATCAGCTACTACCGGGGCGAGATCCGCAGCAAGAGTCGACTGCACGTGACGCTGGGCCACGACACGGTGATGGCGCGCCTGACCCTGTTCACCGCGCCGGGCCGGGAGGCGGAGCCGGGGCCGGAGCCGGGGCCGGAGCCGGAGCCGGAGCCGCCCGGCTGGGACCCGCAGGCCGAGTACGTCTACCTGGAGAGCCTGGAGCGCGGCGCGGCGCTGGCGCTGCTGGAGCTCGAGCGGCCGGTCACGGTGCCGCCGGGCGCGGCGCTGATCGGCTCGCGGCTCGACATGGACGCCAACTCGCCGGCGTGTCGGCTGGCCTTCCACGGCCGCCTGCTGGCGCCGCTGGAGCGCGACTACGCCACCGCCTTCCTGCCCGCGCTCAGGGTGTTCAAACGCAAGGGCAAGGCCGGCGTGGTCGACCGGCTGCACAGCGACACGGAGGTAATCGTCAAGGACCTGCTGAAAAAGGAGAGCAACGTGGCGCTGTTCAGCGGCCTGCGCGTGCGCCTCGCCACTGGAGAGGCAGGCGTCATCGACGGCCCCTTCGGCCAGAGCGGCAAGGTCAAGGTGCGGCTGACGGACGTCCTGGCAGAGGAGACCCGGGCTCGGCTGAGCACCGGCGCGCGCAAGAAGGGGAAGGCGGCCGCCGAGGCGCCCGCCGCGCCGCCGCCCGCGCCCGTCGCCGTCCAGCTGGACTTCAAGCGGTACATCTTCGACCCCAAGAAGCGGATGATACAGAACTGATGGTGACCGGAGGAGGGTCGCGGCGCTGTGTTCATTCTCTGTGCAGGTCGGCTGTGCGCACTTTGGTCCTTATCCGTGTGTATGTGTGTGATGCTGTGCTGTGGGCACTTTGTACCAATCATCTGTGGGCACGCTACCGTTTGACCATTAACTGACCGCCATATAGTGCCGTCGTACCGCGTTATGTGATCGACAGAGGTGGTTTTACCTCAGCTGGGGGCTGATTCTAGTGCCTCGGTCACTGCCTGGGTAACGGGCCGGGGCTGTCTGCCGACGGCGACCTATCCAGGGAACACACTGTCACCCGACGGCGCCATTGTTATTGTTGGAGGCGCCTGTGAACTCGAGTGTTGACGCACATGTCCTATCACGCAATATATCGTGTATCTTGTGTCTATATTTAACTGGGTCCATTATGAATTATGCCGAGCTGCCACGGTTTACTGTGCGGCCTCCACTGGATAAGGACGGCTGCTCAGACAGGCGTCCGTCGACCCGCGCAGGGACGTGGCGCCCGGCTCTGACTCCGCTCCGGTCCCCGGCTGGGAGATGCGCCCCCGGCCGCACGGGGCGGCACGCAAGGCCGCGATAGGCGCCCTATCGTGTGCCGGATCTGCGGCACTATCTGCGCCGGTGGCGCTATCGCGGCGATAGGCGCCCCGCTCGGCCGCCGCCCGCCGGCTGCCTGCACTGTCGCCGAGCTGAGCCGCCATGGCAGCGTTGTGTGGTGTGCGCGCGCTCCCGGCGCTACTGGTCCTGCTCGGCTGCGCCCTGGGCTGCGGCGGCTCACCGCTGCTCGAACTCGGCGATGGTGCCGACATCCCGACCGTGCCGACGCCGGTGAGTACTGACGGACGGCGGGCTGTGGCAGAGGCGGCCTGGGACTGTGGAGCTGTGTACCGGTGTCTCCGCCATACCCCTCACATTGTGTCCTCGTCTCTGCAGTGTCAGTGTGTTCGTTCCGCGTTTCGGTGTCAGGTGTCAGTTTCAGACCCGTCTGTGCCTATTTGTGTCACCCGTGTCAGGCCGTATATCAGTGCCTGTGCATCTTCAGCTTCATGCGTGTCATTGTCGGCGTGGATATTCATTTGTGTGTCATTTGGGGCGCAAGGATATTCTTTATGTGGGAGCTTCACCGAATTTGATAACATTGGTAGCCGACGGGCGCTTCAAGGACATGTCTGACTAAACGGATACACGGTTAAGAGTGTAAAGTGACCGGAAGCGCGTAAACAAACGTAAGGGGGCGCCATCCAGTAGGAGGTGCGCCAGACGGTTACGAGGGCGCCGTGAGACCATGAAAAGGGCACCATTCTCCTAGAAGGGCGCCGAGTGATTGAAAACCATCTATGGTCCAGGGGCACTGGGAGACCAGAAGGGCGCCGAACAGTCAATAGCGCTAAGTTGGTGGGGACGTAGGGGCGTCAGACGGTTACGACTCGAGGGCAACGTGAGACCATTAAAAGGGCGCCATTCTTCTAGAAGGGCGCCGAGTGATTGAAAACGCTTTGTGGTCAAGGGGCGATAAGAGGCCAGAAGGGCGCCGCACAGTCAGTAATGCCAAATTGGTGGGGACGTAGGGGCGCCAGACGGTTACGAGGGCGCCGTGAGACCATGAAAAGGGCGCCGAGTGATTGAAAACGCTATGTGGTCCAGGGGCGCTGAGAGGCCAGAAGGGCGCCGAACAGTAGAGGGATGAAAGACCTAAGGGCGCGAGACGGTCAGGAGGGCACCGTTAGACCATGAGAATGGCGTGGTGCTGTCAAAAGGGCGCCATTCTCCCAGAAGGGCGCCGAGTGATTAAAAAGGCTATATTATCCAGGAACGCGAGACGGTCAGGAGGACGCCGTTAGAGCATGCGAAGGGCGCCGTGCTCTCGAAAGGACGCTTGTAAAAGACTTGTGGGTGCATTTTCATCATTGTGGGGGCATAATTCAGGATTGTGGGTGCATCTGCCCCCATAAAGGGATATAAAATTACGTCCCTGTCTGTGCGCGCTCCTGGCTGTAGGGATACCGGTCTATCCGCTCTGCACAGATCACTCGGTCCGGAGGCTCGTCCCGAGGGCGGGCCTCGGTTTATACTCCAAATCAGCTTTGTGATTCGCCTGGCCAAGAGATCAGCTGGGTCAATGCGAACGGTGACAGAGCTGTGGGCAATGTCCCGATTGGTGGATAACAACAATGAATCACTGCTTTGTAAAAAAAGGTATGCGTCCACTAATACAGTGTGTTTACTCGGCAACTGAAAGCCACAGGCTTGCTGCATAAAGTGGTTACGTTCTTAACTTAATTGCCTCCTCAAATTTGTCGTCGACCAAATGCATCATTGATAACACCTTTGCGGATCGAGCCTAGCAGATATAGCAGCTTCGAAGGTCTTTTCTCGCACAGAACACGACGCTTGGGACACATCTGAAAAGGTCTGCTCATGTTGGTCCACGAGCATAGGCGGCGGAACGCCGGAACGGGGAGAAAACCGGGGCACCGTGCCCCCTTTGATTTTGACCTTTTAATATTAGCCCTATGGGCGTTACATGGAAAGAATGGGACCAAAAGTCGGCAGTGCCCCCCCCCCCTTAACCCGCGCCCTGCTGGGGGGGGGGTGTTTGAACACCCCCCCCCCTTGTGGTTTTTCGCGAATATCTCAAAAACGGCGGCGCGGAGCGCCGCCGTTTTTTGTACACCTTATCATACATCAATTCTACACATGTTGTGAAAATTTCAGACCAAGGTCATTCAAGGTCAGGTCACCAGGTCACTTGAAGTGACCTCACCTCATAAAAAGTTTCAATGTCTGTCATAGCTACACCGAGTGACCGATCGCTTTGAAACTTTCAGCGATTGCTAAGAGCAATAGCATGTACAAAATGTATATCTCAGAATTTTGATATCGATGACCTAAGGTCAGGTCAATTTTGCGACCTCCCCATTATAAGTCAATGGGAGAAAATTGAAATGCGCCTCTTTTGGATGAAAGACATTATAAACACTCCCAAACACCGAATTACAAGTGGTTTAGACACACTGAACTTGAAAATGGTGTCCGTGACCCTTGTTTATGCCCTGAGGTCATCTTAGGTCACGAATGGTATCTAACAGTTTTTCGCAAATAACTTTTGATAGAGGCATGCTAGAGCGATGAAAACGCCTTAGATGTGTTCAGCTCGACGATACGGATCGATTGATATGCAACATGACCCTTTCCGGTCAGGTCATGACCTTGACCTGAGGTCAAATTTTCAAGTTGACCTTTCAAGGTCAAGTCATAGTTCATTCGATGCGTCTTGACGAGAGGAACACGATGCCGGTAAAAGTAAGCTCGTACAAGGCTTGGGTCAAAAGTTATTGCAGAAAAACTGTTTTCGAAAAAATCGGCTATTTTTGCAGTTTTTGCCCCCTGCAGGCAAAACCGTTGACGTTAGGTCAAATCTGAGAGAATTACTCAGAAAGGGCGTTAATAGGGCTATCGAATGCGCTTTTCCGCGGCGCTGTAGCTCTATTGGTTCCCGAGTTATGCGTTGGCTTCTGGGAAAATTTCGACATTCGACCTGGAAATCGGCGAAATTTTGCCTTCAATGACCTCTGGTGACCTGACCTTTGACCTGACCAAAAAATTGACCGAAGTGATTTCGTCATTATTTTTTACGCTCTTTCGAACGCCGCCTTCCGCGTATCGCTACGTGGCCCAGGAGCCGAGTTACAAGGGGGGGGGGGGTGTTCAAACACCCCCCCCCCCCAGCAGGGCGTGGAAATCCAGGACCCCCAGCAGGGCGCGGGTTAATTGAAGGTGTTCCGCCGCTACTGTCCACGAGCTGACTAAGTCTTGCGAAATGCGAATAGCCGAACAGCCGCATCCCGTTTCGTCCATGCGCGCTGGGCTGGGGTCTGGGTATACTGTGCCGCCGTTCTCTGACGTGTTGCGGTACAGTCTACCCCTGCAGTCGAACTGGACATTCCAGTCCGCCGCGGACCGCCGCGCCGCGCGGGTGGCGACGCTGGCCGCTCGTCGCCTGCCGACAGAGCCAGGGTGCTTCTGTTCGACAACTCGTAGTCGCTTCTCGCATCACAACCGCAAAAATATTGCATTCACACGATATTTGATATGCATGCATGATACACGATGTATCTACGCTATTTGTTGGTATGCACTACTTGTCATGAACACTTTGGTTGATCCCTCTCCCGAGATTAAATATAGGGAATATACCATTTTTCCCGGCAATATAAACGGTGCCAATTTATTGACACCAAAAGGTTGGACGCTGAAACAACCGGGAGTTTACTAAGTTATCGACCCTCTCAGTTTTTAAAAGGAAGTGCAGTCATTTCTAGGTTCTCGTCCATTTTCTGACCGAGCCCCGTGGCTCGTTAGGAGGCACCTGCTCACAGGAAGACCCCATACCGTGTGATTTCAATGGGCGTAAAAAACCGGTGTAAGCCCGCTTTTAGGTCCCCCCCCCATACGTCAGATCGCCATCTGTCGGGGAGAAGCTCTGTAAAATATCAGCCCTTATAGAAGGCTGTTCTAACGATAACCACCCGAGTTGTTAGCCATTCAGTCTCTTTATCGCGTTCGCATACACCAATGTCCTTTGTATAACGGCCACGCACTATCAGTCGCGCGGAGCACCACCTAGCTAATGCTGCTGCGGCGACGATGGCCAGCTCGGTTATCGGGCCTCAGTCCCGCCCCGCCCTCACTCAGGGTCGTCGTCATCGCTGACACGCCGATGGACCAGCTGATCGCGGCAGGAATCTGCTCCCCCGATAGGGAGGTGCCGGGGTGGTGAGCTCAGTTCGACAGAAGGCCTCGGAACCAGTGGCGGCGCCACGAATTTTCGCCAGTGGGGGCAAGCTTGAGGTGACCCGACTGTTGTCTGATACGCCGATCTGCAAAATCCATGAGCACCCTGCCCCTAGTTGTTGCCATTCAAAATTATTATGGTTTCAGGTTTCATGCATACATATTGAGCTTAAAGGGACTGTCCCACCTTTGCATTAGTTCTGAGTTGAGATAGCCAGGTTGGCGGCCAGGTTCAGAAACCACTATATATCCTGGTCGCAATATCCTCAGTTTCTTGATGTTAAAGAAACTCGTTCCCTTCATTTGAAAAGTGGGCCTTAGCTAAGGCCCTATCTCTTAACTATTAACGGCCATTTGATGACGTCATTTGCATTTTGAACGCCTGTCACGCATGTGAAGTTTCACTTGATTTACGAATAAGCTAATCAGAGACACTTGTTATTGTATGAGCCGCGTCATATTTGAGAGCAAATACCTATATTTGCTGCCAAATTTCCCCCACATTGACATGAAGTAAATCATTCATTACGTCACAGATCCGATCTAAATGACGTCACGATGAAATATAAAAGTCGCAATATCTCAAAAAGTATACAATGAAAACGCGTAAAAACTTGCAGAATTCGTCACAATATCATGAGTAACATTTCCGAATCCTAAATGGTACTTTTTTGAAGGTGGGATAGTCCCTTTAACCATTAACCCTCGCGGGCCCGGAAGGGGGAGGGCGTTTTTCGCCTCCCCTGGCGAATGTTTGCGATACCTCACGAACGCTTAGGGATAGAAAGACGAAACTTGCTGTACTTTATCCCCCATTGATTTGACATCTTTTGAAAGCAAAAAAAATTGGACCTAGCCTCCTTGACAACGTCACAAGGTCGATTTTGCTAGATCCCTGCACGGCAAACGTCGGCGTCACAGACGTGTACGTGAGGTCAACATAAAACTTCTAAGTTTTTTTTTTCGCAAAGAACTTCAACAAAAATGGTCCTAGAGCTACGGCAGTGGTACAGGTCTCGCGGGTTTTAGCGGTA